GTGTAACCCCCATACCCACAGCCTCAAGAGACTGGTACAGACAACAGTTTAGGGTTACTAAACGTCATGTTAACGTTGGCGGCGTTAGTCACACAATGGACGAAGTCGAAGAGCCAGTAGAACAGAGTCAGCAGCGCACAGGTAAAAACACATTCGTGTCTTGGAAATTCTTCTCCCTGCATAGACTCATGAAATTTGCACTACTGTCCTTTGCACACAAACACACATAAACACACACCTTCATCATCGTCATCAACTTGAGCACACGCGGACCACGTCTCTTTCCATAGTTACTGCGCGGACATCGCTGTCCTCCCGTGCGCCAGGTGTGGACCGTGTTTTCTCACATACGTCGCGTAAACCGCGCTTCCTCCTGTGCGCCTCTAAACCAGAACTAACACCAAGACTTAAACCGGGACTAACCCAGTCCAGGATTAAACCAGGACTAAAACCAGGACTAAAACCAGGACTAAAACCAGTGATCTCAATATTAGCATTTCTCTTTCAATAGTATTTGTAATAGGTTAAGGAAAGACGGGGCTTTTTATGTCTTAACAGACAAAACACTTATGTTCAGATTTCCTAGTCTTTGCTACTTTACAGCAAACAGTTCTTATTCATGAGCTTGGCTCAACAGCCATTGAAGAGAACAAACAAGGAATTGCAGGATGCGGTTGCTACAATCATGTAGTTTTAAAAAGCATGACATATCAGTAATCCAAAGTATTGCAGCTTACATTACTCACTTTAAGTATTAAATGGATTACGTTACAAACTACATTTTGGGATTGTAATCTGTGGGGAATGCATTTTAAAAGTCACCTCCCAATATGCAAGATTAGTAATAGTAATAATAATGATGATACTGTGAATGTGAGTGAGTGCATCTGTAAAGTTGTTAAACAATAAATGACTTTATAAAGTCACTTTTTTGTTCTATATCATCTTTTGATCTGCCCAATAATGTAATAATGAATTTAAATGAAAATACCTCAATTGAAGGCTTTTTCTCAGCAATTTTTAGGTGAGATTAAAAAGAGATTAATTAGATTAATTAATTACAGATCATAATTAATTAATCTCTCAATTTTTTTAATCGCATGACAGCACTAGTTTCAATATTGCATTAGGTATAGTTTTTGCAATAAAATCTAAAGAGAGAGTAAAAAAAATAAAAGGGATTGCCAAAATGAGATGAAAGGATAAGAACATTTGATTTGAAGACTGATGTGTTGATAGTTTATTGCTTTGCCTAGAATGTTCCACAGTATGGTATAAAATTTCTCTATCTCCAATGAGACAAGCAGGCTAAGCCAGTACAGGTCAGATCTGTGGATAGAGAACTATACAAGATAGAGTTTAATGTTGTATTGTGGAACATTCCAGGCAAAGCAATAACATCTCCATGCAGATGAAAACTCAAATTGGACGTCCAACATTTATTTATCAATTTGACTCAAAACAGCCCTTTTCTCTGCTTAAAATCTGCACCTCACTGTCTTCAAATGAGTGGTTTTAAGGTGAAGGTGGACCGCTGACTGTAAACCTGAATTTTACCGTCTTTGGGTTGATACAGTCTTCTGTGAAAGATACTTAATTGTCCCCCTACAGAAATTTGTCCTCTGCATTTGACACATCCTTCAATGTTACTGGGGCATCTTTTCAGGAGCAGTGGGCAGCGAGTACTCTTAGGCAGAACTACCCTAGCTGGAGGATTTGACCTGTTGTGCATGTTTTGGGTTGATGGAGGAAACCGAAAGGCCAGGCGCACCACCAGTGCTCCCTCAATTTCTTTCTCTCAGTGACTAGGTCAAGAATCAGAATACACTAGACAGTTTGC